TGACACATTACAGATACCTTACAGTAAATTTTCATCCTTAAGTATTATTTTGGTTTTGTAGTACTAGTATCCACCTTTGGAACAGCTCAGTTGATAAAGGAATTTATTATCATTAAATTTGTAATGTAATCCTGATCATATATTTGTTACTCACTATTGTACTTAGTAGTTTTCTAAACCTATATATATATGTATGTGTGTGTGTATATATATATACATATATATATATTCTAGACTACTTCTACAGATATTACTCCAGTGTGTTCTTTTGGGGATAAACAAAGAGAACTAAGTACTGCAAGATGTGTTACATTTGTATCAGGTTTTAAGTGCAAAGCCCCTGGTATTTGCTGCATTTTAAAGGTAGAGCAGATCACATGTTTAACTGAAGTGGCTGCAGCATAGAATCTTCATTTGATTGTTTGGCTTTGGAGCAGGACCTTAGCAGAAGAATCAGCAGTGAACCTAATATATTAAGAGAATTTAAGTTGATGTAGATTTTTTCAGTCATCTGGTCAGCCCTTGAGTTGATCACAGGTGCTCAGTACCCTGTCTTGAGTCTATTCTTTTCTGTCTGATAACAGTATAATTTTTGTATTTCTGTACCCCTAACAGATTTAATATAAAACTCCCTTTATATGAAAGACACTAAAATAATCTGTTAATTGAAGCTGTGTAAGCATGGAACCAAATTTCTGGCCTCTGCTTAAGTTCATGGGTGTCAGAATTGTGGGCTTCCTAGACATTGACATTAAAAACTGTACTTATTAAGAGGTATATGGGAATTGTGTTTCTTTTTTTCACTGGTCCCAAGCAGAATAGTGTCACTCAGGTATTATGATATTGTGAAGACAGTATTGGGAGCCCCAATGGCAAATGGCTGTTTCTGAGAGGAGAGCAGAATTGTCATGAGGACTTTCTGGAGTAGGGGAGGATTACTGTAAGCAAAAAATTACATGCAGTGGCCCTGCTCTTGAATGGTTTTGAGGAAAAAGACTTGACATGTGTTTTGCCCCCTTCGTGTCCATTCGCTATAGTAAAGTCAATTGTAATTGCCTGGTGCGGCAAACAGCACAGCTTGGAGAGATTTTGAACAAACTGGGATGCTTAGCTATACAGTAGAAAACTGCATCCTTAAAGCTGCATGCAGGTTAAACTTCAGACATTTTTCTGTTGATGCTTTTTTTGTACTTCATCTGGTGTACTCTTACCGGTTTTGGAGATTTTCAAGGAAGTCAGCTGGATATTAGCAGACAATCCCTAGCAACTAAGGTCTGCCTGTTTCTGAAATAGCTTTCCAGTGACACCATGGGGCACGCAGTTGATGTGCTCTAGTAAGTTTGTCATTCCTATGTTAGGGACTGAACTGGACTGTGTCCACAGTTTGCAAGCCCCATTCTCACCATTTGTCTGTAGTCAGAGACTGGAGTTACCTGGTGTGGTTAGTTATGTTTCAGCCAGTACTCCTGTCTCCTACTGCTAGTGCATGGAACTGTTCCCTGGAGCCATGCTGTCTCTAAGGAATGAGTTGGGAGGTGAGGGGAAGGAGGTTGGGTTGAATATTTTGGGTTACCAGGTCAAAGAGAAGCACTCCCTTTGTACATGGCATATGTGTGTACAGACATCTGTGTTTGAAGTGAGTCCAGACAGGCAAAGGAAGAGAAGTGTGTCAGAGCTGAGATTACCTTCAAAGCTCAAATTGAAAAATGTGTGACTTTCTGATTCTCTTGAACCAAAAAGCTGAGTTGTTTCTTTACAGTCACCTACTGCTTGCTTCTTTTTCAACTTCTACAGGTAGCAAAGGATTCCCGAAGTGACGTTGAGTCAAGCTCAGATGAGGAAGAAACAGTACCTCGCTCAAAGGCCCCGCACAGCACTATCGCCAGTAATGGGACCAGCGGTGCCAATGGGACAAATGGGTATCTTACTGGTGGCACTTGCTCAGAGGAGCATTAATCCTTGAGTTCAATCATGACACACGAACAGAATGAACTGTTTGCTACTGGAAGTAAATTATAAGTTGTGAATGCGGTTTCTTCATGTATCTCAGCATCAGAAAAAAATAGGAGTATCAAAGCATTCTGATAGCGCACTGCCATATTTCCTGTTTGTGAATGAAGACAGCACACCATTCTGTATACTTAGGCATGCTGTATGTGTATGTAACTGACACAATGGGAGCAGTATTTTCACTTGTACTGTCTTGGAAATATTATTTATTTTGTATTCTTTTGGGAAGTTCTGGACAAAAGGGAATATCCATTCTGAAACTTTGTATCTTGGATTCTCAGTGGTGGAGAGCATCATGCTCAGATCTCTTCTGTCCATCGCTGATGCTTTTGCTGAATCTGCTATAAGTAATAGTTGCTTAATTTGTTACTTACAGTAAGATAGAGCATAGCTTTTTAGATTTTAGATCTGCTTCAGATATTTTTGCTATCTTTGTGTTTTAAAGTACTGGTTTTGAAATTGCCTATCAAATCACAGTGACTGTTCGGCCAACATAAAGTTTTAAAACACTGGATCAATATTTTAAATAGTAGGTAATGTGGTTAATTAGCAATTTGGGGAAAAAATGTGGTAATTGTGGGATATTATTTTAGCATAATTTGAAATTCAATTTGGTGGTTAATTGCATTACAAGTAGACTTGATTTGTTGTGCAAATACCCAAACACATTGATGTCAACACTTAGGGTAAACTCATCCTCACTTTTTTCTTTGGCCTTTCAATTTTTCTCCTCTACAGATTTCAGCTTTTTGCAGATTCCATGTAAAAAGGTGTTTGTTCAGGTGCACCGTTGTGAATCCAGACCTCACTCCTGAAATTGTTCTTGCCCATTCTCATGATTGAGAGCAGGAGTGTAATGGGAAAAAGAGCAGATGAAAAGCTCATTGCTTCCTCGGACACAGTTCGGTCTAGATATTTTTCTTAAAATTATTGCCATTCCCTTGGTAAGGTAAAGAAGAGAAGGCAAAATGCCATACATTACTAGAATTATTTTATTTCAAATGTGTGAAAACTTGAGCAAAATTCACTTAACATAATTCACAGCAACCTTTGATTGCTCAGCATTATTTCATCACCTCTACAAATAAAATTAAGGGTGTCTTTAAAATAATTTTGTACTCCTTTTTTATCCAGGATTTACCAACGAAGTCCCAAAGAAGACAAAGTAACACCCAAAGTAAACATCTTTTTAAACATTATATACATACTTCTTCCAGTCTCTAGGTCAAAGTTTGATGTAGGATGCTAAGGATCATACAACTCTTGCAGGACACTTTTCTGTGATTTGTAACAGCAGTGCCAAAAGTAGGCAGGGTTTTTGGGTAGCAGACTCTATGCAACCTACTGTTCAACAGTGCTGTGTGTGTGCACACAGAACCAATGTGCTTGTAGACCAAAGACTTACATATATATGTATTTTTAAAAAAAGTTAAAAAAAAGGAAGGAAGGGACAAACCAGGAAAAAAAAAATCCTAAGTGTGTCTTCTGTATTCAAAGGGATTGGAGTGCTGTGTTCAGCTGGAACTCTGAGCCAGGAAGTCTTTCTGATTCCTTCCACCTATGCAAATAGCAAAATATACATGGCTTCTGATGCCATAAAACATGTTTAAAGACTCTCTTTTATACAGACTCCAGCGAAGAAAGTTGTGTTGTCACTTCTTTCTTTTGAAAACTGAGATTTGTCCTATTCCACTGGTCACTCTTGAAAACTTCTGAAACCTTTATTATCCGTAAAGACTCTTGTGTGTTACAAAAAACACACTCTTGTGTGTTTACTTTTGTGCTAAAACAAGTTGAAAATAAAGGTAAGAAAACTGAAAAATTATAAATCATGGAAGAAGATATATCAGTTTTACTACCTACAGAGCACCTTTTTCAGAAGTCAAGTAGCCTTGTAATTCAGCAGCTGCAGCTTATATGTCCATGCGTATATCTAAGGGAGCAAGAGAGCCTAATTTAAACCTCTTTCTCCTCCAAAAGTTTCTCTGCCTCTAATTTTTCTCTTCTCCTGTGCATTTGATTTCATAACTGGCAGGGCAGGTTATACATCTGAAAATATGCCAATTGCAATAGAAAGTAGCCCACCCATGCTATTTGAAGTCACAGATGTGTAATAATTACTGTCAAGATGATACCAAGATTTTGAAATAAAATCATCCTGGAATATATTTAATGAACATTATAATTTGTGAAATCTGACCTGCGCGGTAATTGAGAATATTAGTTTAAACACATCCCTTCCATAGTGTTGATTATTACCTCCACTGAACCATTTCCCTTCTGCAAAGATGGTTACAAAAATGGCATTATGGCAAAATACTTTGTCTTTCATGAGAATATTGCTCTGACCCATCAACATGAACAATAGACAACATACTGCTATGTTGGTGATGCCAGAACAGAGAGCAGTTCCCAACAACAATCCTTGTGCAAGAGGCCTTCAGTCTCTGTTGGTCCTCCCCAGCAATGCTCTGTAGTATCGATTCAGATTTACCGTCAAGGCTACAACCCTTGAGATGATTTACCATCACTGGCTACATATGATTTTAGTGTATCATAGAATCATAGAATGTTAAGGGTTGGAAGGGATCTTAAAGATTATCTAGACCCAACCCTCTTTGCCATGGGCAGGGACACCTCACACTTGACCAGGTTGCTCAAGGCGTTATCCAGCCTGGCTTTATCCAGCTGTCAGGGCTGAGGCATCCACAACGTCCCTGGGCAATTTGTTCCAGTGTCTAATCACCCTCACAGTAAAGAATTTCTTCCTAATATCTAGCCTGAATCTTTCCTCTTTCAGTTTGTATCCACTACTCCTTGTCCTGTCACTGCAGTTCCTGACAAGAGTCCCTTTCCAGCTTCCCTGCAGATCCCCTTCAGATACTGGAAGGTTGCTAAGAGATCTCCACACAACCTTCTCTTCTCTGGGCTGCACAGCCCAAACCTTCCCAGCCTAACATCACAGGGGAGGTGCTCCAACCCTCTTATCAACTTTGTGACCCTCTCTGGACTTTCTCCAACAGTTTCACATCCTTCTTATGTCGGGGACACCCGACCTGTACACAGCACCCCAGGCAGGGCCTCACAAGAGCAGAGCAGAGGGGTAGAATCATCTCCTTCAACCTGCTGGCCGTGGTCCCTTAGATGCAGCCCAGGACACTGTTGGATATCTGGGCTGTCAGTACACATTGCCAGCTCATGTTGAGTTTTCATCAAGCACCTCTCCCGAGTCTTTCTCCATAGGGCTGTTCTCAGTCATCTCTCCACCCAACCTGTAGGTGTGTCTGGGATTGCCACAACTCACATGTACGTCCTTGCACTTGGATTTACTGAACTTGAAGAGGTTTTCATCAGTCCACCTCTCAATAGTGTCAGGGTCCCTTTGGATCCTTACTGGTGCATCTGGGACTGAAACTCTTCCTTTGAGGTTTAAAATTCAATTGCATCTATGATACACTAAAGCATATACACAGTTATCTTGGTTCAGGTAACTCCAAATGACTTACTTATCCCCTATAAACCTGGCTTTTTGGAGTTAAATACAGATATGTTTAATACAGATAAGTTTAATATAAAAGTTTAATACAGACGTCTGGAAAATAGGTGAGGTAAGAGATTCAAATGACACATTTGGGGAAATGGGATAAGAGTAAGGAAGCACTGAGAACTTCACTAACCTTTGCTAAACAGTCACTGATCTTTCAAGCTAGAGGTTTTTTAATAAAAATTAGGAATTCAAACATTTTTTTCTCTAGTGGGAAGGACCAAGTGCTTTACTGATCAGACATAGCAGTGTGCTTCGATTCATTGCTTTAACCAATGGTTGTCAAAACTTTGGCATCTTCCACTCTGCAGAGAAAATGCTGTGCAATTATTTCCTTTTTTATTTGAATTTGTCTGCTTTTCTGATGAAGAGCTTTGCAAGATGCATTTGGAGGCCATCGAGTATATAGAGGTTAATTGCACATGTTCCAGAAAATTGACTGAAATTATTCGCATGATTCATGGTAAATGTGAGACCTTAAAAGGTTCTATATGTTCATACCTTTTGTAGAATTGTCATTTTAGTAATTTTAGAAATGAGGCTTTGTACTCTATAACCTCTTTGTCTTCAAGTTCTATGCTCCCTTTTTATAGTACAGTACACGATGCAGTGGTTGAGATGTTGAAGTAGAAAAATGAGGAAATTATATGTAGAGTTGATTAGTAAATAGTAAGAATTTGTCTTCCCTTCCTAGACAGCCCAGAATATAGTAAAATAAAATTCAGGTCACCCTTTATTTTACTGTTTCCCATATTGGCATATTTTGTACCAAAAGAAAAATATATGATGGGTTGGAGTTTTTTTTCTTATTAAAACCAACATTGCAGAAAATGGTAGAAATATCTGGTCGAACAACAAGGGTGGACACTGGAGTCTTTTGGGTCTTGGATCAGTGTTAAATAGTGCTAGTTTTAAAATACCAAAGCTGTTTCCTTGTTGCCCTTTTGTAGTTTTTTCTATGTGTTATTTATTTAATGATTCCAGCAGAATTGGTACAGGTGTCACAGCTTCATATGCTCCAGTCTCAGCCTGTGAATATTCTGTGACCACGATTGCCAATATCAAATGCTTTTTCTGAGACCCAAGTACATGCACTAAAGCTTTGCTTACAGTGAAGTGATTCTTGTCTTAAATCTGTATCTGTTTCAGGTGAAAATCACTTTCTGGTTCTGAACAGGACATGATGGCAACAGCCGTTCCCCTGCAGCACATGTCAGTGGTGATCAATGCTGGTTGATTTAGTCACTGTGTGTGTTTTATGCAGAGTGCTCTAGTAGGAAGCCTAATGCCTGTTTCATTCATCCTCCCATTATCACAGCCTTCTGTATCTCAGAGAAATTGGTTTTCTACAGTTGATGCTTTGGTATTTTTTTAATCTCTTTGCTACAACTCATTTTTATATGTCTCCTATTGTCTACTTCCTGTGACATTTGGGGGAGAGGAGCTACTGAATAATTTTTACCCTTCCTGTAATGTAGACCCTATTAGGCCTAACTTCAGTGTTCTGCAAACTACAGTTGCCTTTAAACCATGAAGCAAACCCAGTTTGTATTACTTGTTTTGACTGGTTTTGATTTCGAACAGGGACCTAATGGGAACTTCAGTAAGATGATGTTACTCTTTTTTTCTTTTCCTTTTAAAAAGCACTAGTGGAATTTTGGAAAGGTGGTGTATGTGTATAGCCTTTAAATTGTAAAGATTTCTGATTGTAGTTGCAATGAAAACACAGTGTTTGAGTGTCTCTGTACAGAATTCTCAGTCTTTAAAATTGCTTTCAGTTAAAAAACAGGAGGAAATACTATGAAATGATGTTTTGGAGCAATGTCAGTGATCACACATGTCAGATGGATGGCAAAAATGATTGTCTTACCTGGCTTAAAATGATCTGTGCAACAATAATTGCAACAAGCATTTTCTGGCTTCTCTTGAGCTTCAGCTTCTTGCAGTTCTGGGGTTTAATTTTATACATGAGCTCTTATACCATACTGTGCATGTTGACTGTTGCAAGTCAGGGTGAGGCAGATGACACACTTTCTCCTGTGTTTTCATGACAATCCTGTACTTGAGCAACTCTTTCAGAAATGCAGTGATGTGTAGGAATTCCACTGTCCTGGATACAGTGACACACTAGCTAAAAGTCCTTTCATGTACAGCTGTTGTGTAGAATTTTTGGAGTTATTTTGTGTTTAATTTGACTGGGTTTGGGTTTTGTTTGTTTTTTTTTTTTTTTAATATGGAAAATAATTATTCCTCATAAAATCTCTGGAACCAACCAGTATTGTGGGCTATTTTATTTGGAGACACTTTCATAATAAACGTAAGTATTAGGAATGTAGTGTTGGTTTTCTTCTCTTTTCTATGAGATGCAAACAGTATTTTCCTTTGTTTTAGCTCAAAGATTGTCACCCACACTGCAGACTCCAGCACTTTTTGGGCAGATCCAAGTGTGTCTTTGCTGAGTTCATCACTGCATTATTTTATATTACTTCTTGTATGAAACCATTTGTAACAGGAAGTGTCAGAAGGACAAGTTCTCTCTGTACAAATTAAAATATTTTATTTTTTAAAAAAGACAATTTCCTAGGATTTCAATATTAAAATTTTGCATGTTAATAATTCTTGAATGTCCATCTTAACCTGCCTTGGAAAAGATGTCTTTTTTCAGACTAGGTGGACAGACTTTCTCAGAAATAGATATTCATTCAGATGTTTTGGGCTAAACTGCCAGTCAGCAAAGCACCACCTAATAACCTCTTCTGGAAGTGCACAGTGTATCTTGTATAGTGGTTCTCCTGAGGAGAAAGCTGCAACTCTTGATTTTGCCAAGGAACCCTAATCTTTCAGACTTCTACTGTTACAGTAGACTAAATCTCTTTGCTTATTTATCGTAGGAATGTATGTTTTTTATTACTATTAAAAGGAAAAGGGATAAAGCGTTTTTCTTTTTTTTTACAAGGATCTATCTGTTTAGCAATGCACTGAGCTGGAATTGTTTTCATACACTCACCAAAGTAAAGCCTACAAAACACCATTGTCAAGAGGCTCTGGTGCAGCATTAAAAGATGATGAGGGAGTACTTATAAATGGGATGCATGAAAACATTCTGATAACTTCAGCAGGAGAGAGGCAACAGTTCTCATAATACAAATCTGAATCATGTAGGAATGCATCAGTTGAGGGTTTGCCTTTTGAAAAGAAATAAACCTGGGGATTTCCACTGTGTTTAAAGAACTAATTACTGTACTCGTTAGTATGTCTCTGTGATAATATATAGAGAGAGAATCTTGTAATGCTTTTAATACAGCATTTAAGTTCATGTTTATTGAAGATA